ACACACACACACACATATATAATATGTATATACAAACATGCTTAACATAGTCGGATAATTCAATTAATTGTAAAGTGTCAACATCAAACTGAAAGGGAAAAAAAGAAAAAAGATTGTAAAAGATAATAGTATAGGGAAAAAAAATTAAAAACACACTTTTGGGGTATCCATGTACTAATCAGAATGTTAATATTTGAGCATATATAATCTCTCCTTTAATGAGTAGTAACATCAATGTATTTATGAATACTAAAATTTAATATGAAAAATATTAGGGAAAAGTTTGAAACTTCTTAGATCAGTTTTGTGTTTTGTTTGGTTTTTAAAGCAGGATAAAAGTAAATCAGAGAAAATCTAGTCTGAAATCAAATCAAATCAAAATGATACACTCTGCTCAGATATTTATTTTTGAGTTTTAAATGTATACGATAATCAAAATTAATTTTTTGCCAGTAGTTTCAGAGCAGCTAGAAGTAAGACTATTTCAAGTTCTCTGTTCATTTTTCTTTCAAATAAAGGCTCCCATATATGAAATATTTTGTCTGTGGAGTGATTTCATGTTGATGTGGTTGTTGTTAGGTGCTGTGGGTATGGTGCTGACTCGTAGCGACTTTGTGCCCAACAGAACAGAACACTGCCTGGTCCAGTGCCAACCTCACGTTCGTTCTATGCTGCTGCTAATCTATCTCATTGTGGTCTTCCTTTCATAGCTACAGCTAATTTGCAAAACTTATTTGTTATGGCTACTGGAAAGATAAATTCCATATCATGTTATAAATAAATCTGGTTGGAATATATAAGAAAGCTTTAAGTTTCTTTTATTTTTTTGGATTATTTATTTAAGCAGCATTTATAGTTGGCAGAACTCAAACAACATATTGGTAATGTGTGCAGTAGCAGTGACCAGCCTTTATGTAACTGAAACTCATATGGCTGATATAATACCCATGTAGAAAACCTGGTAGTGGTGGTGGTGGTGTGCCGTGGAGTCGGTTCCTGCTCATAGGGATCCTGTATGGGGTTTCCGAGGCTGTACATCTTTACAGGAGCAGAAAGCTTCGTCTTTCTCCCATGGAACAGCTGGTAGTTTCAAACTGTTGACTCTGAAGTTAGCAACCGGACTTGCAACCACTATGCTACCGTGCCTGTGTTATAGGGTTATCTTTATTCTTTTAATCTTATGAAAATCATTTACAAACATTAACAATGAAATGGATCACTTGAAACCTACCTCAAAACTAATACCCACAAATTGTTGAGGAAAAAAAAAAAATGAACCTATGCAATTGAGAAAAACATAAAGTCAGCCATTTTTATTGTAGTTTAAATCACAAAACACTCACTCCGTAGATCTGTGAAAGTAGAGAGTAGTGACTGAGATCACAGCTGGAATCCGCTGACCCACTCATTAATACCAGAGAGAACATTTTATATATACTTGAAATTTTAGTGTTTCAGAAACTGGTCAGGTAAAAAAATCACTTGTCTTGCTTATTAAAAATATAGATTCCTGGACCAAGTCTAACTTACTGATTAGAATCCCTAGTGGAGACACTTGGCAGTCTTTACCCAAGCAGCCCGGGTGATCAAGTCCAATTTAGGAATTCTAATGTTCATGTTGTTTCACCTGACTTAGCAGCTGAGTTCAAGTGAAGTCTTCAGAGAGCGTTCCATTTCATTTTTGCACATGCTTTTGAATTTTGCCTTAGTTATCTAATGCTGCTATAACTGAACTACCACAGGTGATGGCTTTAACAAACAGAAATTTATTCCATCATAGGTTAGGAGGCTACAAGCCCAAATTCAGAGCCACCTCTGAACAAAGGTCCTTGTCTCTTTTCCACATCTGTAGGCTCAGCATTCCTTGGAGGTCACCATGTATATTTGCATCAATCTTTTCCTGGATCTAGGAGCTTTGACAGTACAGGGATCAGGTGCAAAGAATATTTGCTGTTTCGGTGGTAGTAGGACCCTTGCTTTCTACTCATTTCTTTCTTCTTTTATCTCTTGTAAGATAAAAGGTGTTGCAGGCTACACCCCTGGGAAACTCCCTGACATCACTGGCTAATTACTCCAAAAATACTGTCTTTATATTTTCTCCCTTAACCTTCAGATGAAATATTGTCAGTGTTTTGCCTTTGTTTCTCCTTTCTGTCCTATAAATGTTATCTCATTTCTGTCCTACTTGGGTTTTGATGAAAAATGCCCTGTTGGTATTATTGAAGATCACTTGTACATTTTCAATTGCTTTCCTCTTGCTGCTTGTAAGATACTCTTGGCTTTCAATGCTTTGACTATCATTTGTGCCAGGGTGAATTTCTATGAGTTTATTCTCTAAAAGTTTGCTGATATTTTTGAATATGTAGACATATCATCAGGAAGGACCCATTTCAGGAGAAGGACATCGTGCTTGGTAAAGTGGCTGGTCAGGGAAAAAGAGGAAGATCCCCAGTGAGATGCATTGTTTCCATGGCAGCAGCAGTGGGCTTAAACATGTGAGGATGGTGCAAGACAAGGCAGTGTTTTCCATCAAATTTGGGGAGTTTGGAGCCATTGTTTCTTACAATATTATTTTTGCCCTCTTCTCCTTTTCTTTGGAGTCCTGGCATCAGTTTGAACTGCAAGGCCGGCAGTTCAGACCCACCACCTGCTCCTCGAAAATCCTAGACAGGGTTGCTATGAGTCAGAACCAACTTGATGGCCCTCAACAACAACAACTTTCTGCATGGGTTCTAAGTTTGATGAGACGGAGGGGAGCATCTTGCGCTAGTCCTTCAGGTAAACTTTGGAAAGGTTAGAACAGAAAACCCAATCGTTTGTGAATAAAATCTTCTCTGCCACTTCCAGGTAAGGAATCAGGGTTCCACACTGGGATCTTGGACTACTGTTTCAAGACTGCAACTGAACTGGGAATGGGCAAGAAAAGGACAAGTAATCACACCACAAAGCTTTCCTACTATCTCTGTTGTTGTTGTTGTTAAGTGATTTCTAACCCATTAGTGATTCTGTATAGAGTTTCCAAGGAGTGACTGGTGAGCTTGAACCACGGACCTTGTGGTTCAAATGACTTTGTAGTCCAGTGTATTGGCCCACAGCACTACACCAGGACTCCTTTAAGTGGGCGTTTTTCTTGATCCACATTTGTTTGGTTAATGCAATCTTTTATTGTTTTCCAAAGTAACAGAGAAGTTGGTTCTGAAAATTTAGGGTTTTTTGTTTTGTTTTTTATGTTTTTGTGGAGTGACACGAGTTCACAAGTACCTACTCTGCCATTTTGCTGATGTCACTCCTATGCTATTTAAACAAACTTTGAGTCTAGGAAATTCATCTCTATAATATTGGTGTATTGTATGTAATGCTCCTGTTGACCAGCTGCTTTAATTAGAAGGCTAAATTTGTTTTGTAGGCAAATTTGCCATTTAAATCCTAAGATAATTTTCTATGTCCTAAGGCTGTTTACAAGGAGCTCTGGTAGCTTAATGATTACGATGGGGCTGCTAACCTCAAGGTTGGCAGTTCCGAAACTACCAGCTGTTCTGTGGGAGAAAGATGAGGCTTTCTGCTCCTGTAAAGATTTGCAGCCTCAGAAAGCCCGTGCAGGGTCACTATGAGTCGGAACCCACTCCATAGTACTTAACGACAACAAAGGCTATTTACAGCTGGAAGAATTAATGGATGAACAATTTTAACATAAATACTAAGCCTTTTCATCTTTTCCTTCTGTTTTGTTACAGAAACGCTTGAAACTCTCATCAAACAAGCAGAAAATTACACAAGTATACTTTTTTGCAACACCTACAGGAATATGGCCTTAGAGGCTGCGGCTTCAGTTCAGGAGTTCTTCACTGATGTAGGGCTCTTCTTATTTGGTGCAGATGTTAATCCTGAAGAATTTGTAAACAGATTCTTTGACAGTCTTTTCCCTCTGGTTTACAACCATCTGATAAACCCTGGTGTGACTGGTAACAATAGGGAATATTCAGAATGCATCCGCCTAGCCCGCAGGGATGTTAGTCCATTTGGTAATATCCCCAAAAGAATAATGGGACAGATGGGAAGATCTCTGCTGCCCAGCCGCACGTTTCTGCAGGCACTCAACCTAGGCATTGAAGTCATCAATACCACAGAGCATCTGCAGTTCCCCAAAGAGTGCAGCCGAGCCCTCTTAAAGATGCAGTACTGCCCTCACTGCCAGGGCCTGACTCTCAGTAAGCCTTGTATGGGCTACTGCCTCAATGTCATGAGAGGCTGCTTGGCACATATGGCAGAGCTTAACCCACACTGGCATGCATACATCCGGTCACTGGAAGAGCTATCAGATGCGATGCATGGAACATACGACATTGAACACGTGCTCCTGAACTTCCATTTACTTGTTAATGATGCTGTGATACAGGCTCACCTCAATGGACAAAAATTATCTGAACAGGTAAGTGGCCTCTCCATGTTTCTTCTCTAATTAATTAAAATATACATATTGGTGGTCTATGTGTGTGTCTTTGTATGCAGACTTACTGATTGCCAGTTACATGAAAGGCAACTTGTTAGTTTAAATACTAGGGTGAGTCAAAAAGTATTGCTACTTTAGGTTTTCGTTCATGCAGGCACAGATTTATTCTAAGATGTGTTTCAACATGTCTCTGCGGTCAGTGGATGGCTGTAGATAAGTTCTCTTGGTAAAACTCTTGTCTTAGTCTGGTAAGAGTGCTTCTTTTTTTTTTTTTTAATTGTCTAATCAAAACAGTTCCCAAGGGCATCTGTTGGACTAGTTAAATTCAAGGCCAAGAGATCAGCTCAGAAGTTTATGGTGACTACTTTTTATTGGATTCCTAAAGGAGTCATCTTGCTAGATTTTCCAGAAGGATATAATGATGATCAAAGAGGATTATTAGGAAGATGTTTGAAGGAAATTGAAAACTGCATTGGTGAGAAAAAGACCAGGAAAATTATGTCAAGGGTCTTTAAAAAAAATCACAACAAGGCATTTGATCATTTTTTGAGAATTTCATTGAGAAATGGTTCTCCTGTAAGCCCCCATTCGTTCCCCATACTCAAAGAACAATGAAAAAGCAAGAGGATTTGAGTCCCAAGAATCCGCCTAAACTGCTGTTTTGATGTGATGTAAACCAAGGAGTGCAGAATTGCTTAGGGGGGAAGGTTAGAGAAATGGAAACCTCACCCTCAGAAATGTATTGCCACAGAGGGAAGGTAAGTCCAGAAACAATAGCTTCATCACTTGGTATTTTTTGTTTCATAAAGTGTGCTGTGGTTTTGTAGCAATATTCTTTTACATTCATATATTATGTACTTTAAGATTATGGCAAATCTAACAATTGTGTACTTCTGGAAATAGTAAGAGGATGTGTGGATGATTACATTTTATTCAAAATAGTGCCCTTTTATCTTGCATCCAAATTTTTGCTAGCTAAAATGCCACTTGCTCTTCTAAATTGAAGCCTTCTTGTATGGGTTAGTTCAATGTTTAGGAAAGAGCTTTGATTTAAAAGCAGGATGAGTATGTATATGAATCAGCAACCTGCTAGCCATGTGATATGTAATATTAAGCAAGTCACTTAGCCAATTAACGCCTCATTTTCTTTGTTGAAAAAAAGGCAATAGTAAAGCATAATTTTAGAGTGTTCTTTTTTGTGAAGATCGGCAATATGTATGCAAACCTGATATTAAAAAAATTGGTAATTATTGTTAAAGGCATTCAGCATTCTAAATAGAAAATGCTATTACATATCCAGTAAATAAAGACTAAATTACTTGGCGTTCAAAAATGCTCCGACAGGTACTCTCCAGAGGTTGTCACTGTAATGCTGTTATGATTATTAACAATGCACTGGACTGCAAAGTCGGTTTGAACCACAAGGTCGGAGGTTCCAGCTTACCAGCCGCTCCTCGGATATACAGGGTTACTACGAGTCAGACCCAACTCGACGCCTCTTAACAACAAGATATGGTGTCTTTGTGCTTTAGTCCAAGAAAACTTTAAGAAACACAATCATAAAGTCAACAGAAATGAGAGTTTTCTATTTCTCCCACCTTCTGCAAAGAGCCATTTTCTTATTATTTTGTTGTTGTTGTTGTTATGTGCCGTGGAGTGGATTCCGACTAATAGCGACCCTGTACAGGGTTTCTGAGGCTGTAAATCTTTACGGGAGCAGAAAGCCTCATCTTTCAGGTCCCCATAGTAATTGTTCTTATATCCCTTATAGCAAAGTAGTACATGCTGATGTTCATCTTGCGTCTTTTCTCTTGAAATAAAATGATACTCCTCTGTCATATTATATTAACAGATTATATCTTCCCACTCTGGCATGGATTCACTGAATTGGTAAACATTGTCTTAACTGGCTATATAAATAATTTTAAAAACTCAATTGCTGATAGAAATTATGTCTGAAAATTTTTATAATACAACCACTTTCCTCTTTGCCTCCTAACTTCAAAGGTCTTTTCAGGGTGGGTGTGCCTATAAGGTGTCATAATCTAAATTAATAGTGGCACCCTCTTTAGATGGGAAGAGCACCCTGGTATTGTTTGGGATTTCAGCTCTCATGCCCCATTCCATTCAGCTGGACATCCTTACACAATGAACAAGTTTCCCAACAGTATGTAATGGTCCAGGTCTTTTGCTTTCTCTCATCCTTTTATGAAAATCAGACATGGATAAGAACTTCTAGAAAGGATCTATAATAAAACCTGTGAAACAAATATAAGGAGGAAACTCATCAGAAAAGGAAAACTCAAATATTTTCCACAAAAAAAGAGAGGTAGAAGAATTCTAAGACTCCATTCTGTCAAAGGTGGAAAACTTTTGAGTCCTGGAAAAGCAAGGCCAGTGTCATTGAATTCTGACTCACAGGGTTACTGTGATTCACTCAAAATGAAATATAATAGATGATTTTCAGTGTTTTTTGTTTTGTTAGATGCTGTCAAGTTGGTTCCAATGCACAGGTATACCATGTGTAACAGAATGACACGTTTTCTGGTCCGATGTTAGCCTTATCATTGTTGTTATATCTGAGCCCATTGTTGTAACGCTTGTATCTGTCAGTCTAATTGAGGGACTTCCTTATTATGGATCCTCTACTTTACCAAGCATGATGTCCTTTTCTAGGGACTGGTCTCTCCTGAGAACATGTCCAAGAATGTTGTTGTTGTTGTTAGGTGCCATCGACTCGCTACTGACCCATAGCGACCTTATGCACAGCAGAACGAAACACTGCCCAATCTTGAGCCAACCTCACTATTGTTGCCACACTTCAGTCCATCAATGCTGCCACTTGGCCAATCCATCTCGTTGGGGGTCTTCCTCTTTTTCTCTGGCTCTCCACCTTACCAAACATGATATCTTTCTCCAGTGACTGGTCACTCCTGACAATATGTGCGAAGTATGAGAGATGAAGTTTGGCCATCTTGGCCTCCAAGGAGCACTCTGGCTACACTTCTTCCAAACGGATCTATTGATTCTTTTGGCAGCTCATGGCACTTTCAATATTCTCCTCTAATACCATAACTCAAAAGCATCAATTCTTCTACCGTCTTCCTTATTCACTGTCCAGCATTCAGATGCATATGAGGTTACTGAAAATACCATGGCTTGGGTCAGGCACACCTTAGTTCTCAAGCTGACATCTTTGCTCTTCAGCACTTTATAAAAAGGTCTTGTGCAACAGGTTTGCCTAATGCAATACGTCGTTTGATTTCTTGACTGCTGCTTCCCTGAGTTTTGATAGTTGATCCAAGAAGAATGAAGTCCTTGACAATTTCAATCTTTTTTCTGTTGATAAGAATATTGTTTATTGGTCAAGTGGTGAGGATTTTTGTTTTCTTTAGATTGATATGTAATCCATACCGAAGGCTGTGCTCTTTGATCTTCATCAGTAAATGTTTTAAGTCCTCTTCACTTTCAGTAAACAAGGTTGTATCATCTGCATATCGCAGGTTGTTAATGAGACTTCCTCCAATCCTGATGCCATGTTTTTCTTCATATAACCCAGCTTCTCAGATTATTTGCTCAGCATACAGGTTAAGTAAGTATGGTGAAAGAATACAACCTCGTCACACACCTTTCTTAATTTTAAACCATTCAATGTTTCCATGTTCTGTTTGAACAACTGCCTCTTGGTCCAGGTACAGATTCCTCATGAGCACAATTAAGTGTTCTGGAATACTGTCCAAAGTAGGTGAGATAAAGTCTCATCATCCTTGCTTTTAAGGGGCATGCAACTGTGTTTCTTCTAAAACAGATTTGTTTGTTATTCAAGAACTCCTTGATACTTTCAATATTCTTCACCAACATCATAATTTGTAGGTATCAATTATATTTCGGTATTCCTTATTCATTGTCCATCTTTCTCATGCATATGAGGCAATTAAAATACCATGTCTTGGTTCAAGCACATCTTAGTCCTCAAAGTGACATATTTGATCTTTAACACTTTAAAGAGGTCTTTTGCAGTAGATTGCCTGATGTGTAATACATTGTTTGATTTCTTGAGTGCTGTTTCCATGAAATTGACTGTTGATCCAAGCCAAAAATATCCAATCATTTTTGATGATATTGTTTATTACTTTGCTCAGAGTCCAGCTCTGAAGATGTTTGTTTTCTTTACATTGAAGTGTAATCTATAGTGAACTATATTCTTTGATCTTCATCACTAAATGTGTCAAGTCCTTTTTACTTTCAGTGATCAAGGTTGTATAATCTGCATATCATAGATTGCTAGTGAATTATCCTTAAATTCTAATGAAGTAGCCCAATTACGTAGTCCAATTTATCAGATTATTTGTACAGTGTACATTCTGAATGTTGCTTTGTTGTTAAGTGCTGTTGAGTCAATTCCCACCCATAGCAATCCTATACAGGGTTTCCGAGCAGCAGCTGGTAAGCTTGAACCCTGACCTTGCAGTTCAACCGGCTTTGCAGTCTGGCACATTAACCCACAGGTGTGGTGAAAGGATACAACCATGACACACTTCTGTTAATTTAAAATCCTCCTGTTCTGTTTGAGTGATTGCTCTTGGTCTATGTGTAGGTGCCACATGAGCACAACTAAGTGTTCTGTAATTCCCATTTGCAATGTTATCCAACATTTATTATGATCCATACAGTCTGATGCTTTTTATAGTCAACAAACACAAGTAAATATCTTTCTGGTATTCTCTTCTTTCAGCCAAAATCCATGTGATGTCAACAATGACGCTAATGGTTCTGCATCTTCTTCTGAATCTTATTTGAATTTCTGTTAGCTTCCTGTCAATGTACTGCAACAAGTGTTTTGAGTTAACTTCATCAAAAAAAATTTAATGATATTGTTCGACAGTTTTCACATTGTGTTGGTCACTTTTCTCTGGAATGGACACAAATATGAATCTCTTTCAGTCAGTTGGCTAGATAGCATTCCTCCAAATTTTTTG